TATTGTTGTTCTGGGGAGAAAACTGATATTTTTGGAAAGTATAAAATGTTTTCATCAGACGTATGTTATTTTTATGGCTTATTCTTTTAGTCTAAAATTCTTACAAAGTTTGGACTAAAGAAAAGCCTATGCAAAAAAGTAAAATTCACATGTTAGGACATTTGTTTTCAATCTGGAAGCCAATTTAGTCATTCCTTCAATTTGATATACCGTTCACATAAGCAGTTAAGGCAGATCCTGCTGAATGTCTAACTGCAGTGGGAGATCTGTCACCCAGAAAGTGCATATTACAGAGAATTGGAGATTAAAATGCCTGAATTGGTTAAGGGATCTCAACAAAGTGTGGGAAGGATCGTCTGTAGTAGCTCTTCCTGCTTTCTTTCCTTTGTCAATTACCCACTCTAAAACCAAAGTGTCTGCCTACCCTTCACTATTCAAAGACATAACTTTTAGATGGATTAAATACAGAGTCAGCAAACTTTGCAAGCTATATGCTCTCTATCACAGCTACCCAACTCTGCCATTGTAGGGCAAAAGCAACCATAAATAATTGCAAACAAATGAGCATGGCTATTTTCTTAATAAAACTTTATTTACGAAAACTCACACTGCCAACTCCTGGATTACACTAACCAGGAAGGAAGAAAAGAAAGAGGGGAGTCCTCTAAAGTTATTAGAAGGCAATATATGGGTAGAGAAAGTCTTCCTAAACAAGATACAAAATGCAAACACCATAAAAAGCTTCTACATTTGACCACATCAAAATATTAAAAATCTGCATGTAAAACAAACTTTGAACAGAGTTAAAGTCAAGACACTTACTGAAAAAAATTGATATATATTTACATCCTGNGTGGGGACTGTGTGCACTGTAGGGTGTCTAGCAGCATCCTGGCCTCCTCCTACTGATGCCAGTGTCACTGTACTCCTAAAGTTGTGACAATCACAACTCTTCCAGACATTGCCAAGTGTCCCCTGGGGCAAAATCATCCCTGGATGAGAACCACTGGGGGAGGGGGAAGATTATTCTCCTAGACTGCCGGTGGGAATGTGAATTGGAGCAACTACTTTGGAGAACAATTTGGCAGTATCTACTAAAATTTAAAATGTGCACACCTCATAACTCAGTAGTTCCACTTCTTAGTGTCTGTACCTAGAGAACACAGGCATGTGGGCCCAAAGAGGCATGTCTGCAGTGTGGTTTGTAATGACGAAAACCTGAAAACAACTTAAATGTTCACCAGCCGGACAATGGCAGTAGAACCTATGGTATTTCCATTCTGAAGACAATATTTTAAAATAATGAGGTAAAGGTGGCAACAGTACAAATGCCCATCAGTGGATGAATGGATAAATAAAATGCAGTGTATACATATAATGAGATATTATTCAGCCTTAAAAAAAAATGAATTCTGACACATGCTACAAATGGATGAACCTTGAAGATGTTACGCTAAGTGAAATAACCCAGACACAAAAGGACAGATATTGTGTGACTCCACTTTTGTGTACCTAAAATAGTCAAACTCATAGAGACAGAAAATAGAACAGTGGTTACCTAGAGCTGGGGAAAGGCAAAAATGGTGGGTTATTGTTTAATGCGTATAGAGTTTCAGTATGGCATGATGAAAACGTTTTGGAGATGGATGGTGGTTGCATAATGATGTGAATGTACTTAGTACCACTGAACTGTACACTTAAAAATGATTAAAATGGTAAATTTTATGTTATGTATATTTTACCACAATACAAAAAGGAATGGCCTGGCTGGTTAGCTCAGTTGGCTACAGCACAGTGCTGATAACACCAAGGTCAAGGGTTTGGATCACCATTCTGGCCAGCTGACAAAAAAAGGGGGAGGGGGTAGATTTCTATGTTTTGATATGAAAAGATCTCAAAGACATAATGTGGGGTGAAAATTAATAAACATACAGATTTAAATACATACCTCTGCATCTAAATGCTTTGGAAGTAGGAGCGGTTATCCGAGGAGGGGTCTTGCTTGCAGTGATGCCTAAAGAGGATTTTGGTCTAATCTATAAGGTTTTAATTTTTTGAAAGGAGAATGTATTCATATGTTACTGTGGGTTTTAATAATAATAATACTGCTTAGAATATCTCTAGAAGACACAGTGACATTGGCTGTCTCCAGGGAGGGAAAAACTGGGTGCCTGAGAGATCCCTCTCACTAAACTTCACACTATTCACCCTTTTGTGCCCCTTAAAATTTGAACTATGTGACATTATTACCTACACAAGTATAACCAATATTTCCAAAAAAGTCCAATAGTTATAAAATTTTTCCTGAATTTATGTTCTATTCAAAACAACTGACTTTTGTTCTTCGTAGCTCCCATGATTCCTTCCTTCCCATCCTGCCTTTAAAAAAAA